TTCTTATCCCTCTTCTTCTTGTTCTTCTTCTTCTTCTTCTTCTTCTTAGCGCTTATTGTTCAGTGCTCCAGCTAACAGTGCCAGTTTCTTATGTTGTCTCTTGGGAGAATTCACTGCCCACCCCTGCTGTAGCAAATATACAGACATGTGCCATTGCACTAAAAAATGCTTAACTTGCATACAGACAAAAACATATGTGTACAAGTAACAGACTTATTAAAGTGTCTAGGAGAAATTAGGGAACAGACATGGATACCCTATAATCATTATAGTAAGATTATAAAACTTTGAAAAACACAAAGAATTGAAATAGGTGGGTTGATGTTCACCATCTATTAGCTAACATGAAAAGCTATAATTATGTGTTCATTGCCTCAAGGTTAGTTTTGGGTTTTTTTCTATAACTTGGCATCACTTCTGTGAGTTTTTGTCTGGACTTGTATTTTTTGAAAGGAGGAGATAGACTGATAATGTCTGGTTCCTGAATGTTATTTTTTAGGTTATCATGAGTGTTACAATTGAGCCTCAGACTGTTTATGTTCTTTATACCATTATTTAACCCTAGTTTCTCTGAGTGTTCTCTCTGTTTCTTTTCTTTGCCTCCCCGGTCCCAGTGTCAAGCCTGTGTGTCTTAGTCTTTGTTTTCGTGCTTATCTTACTTCCGGTGTTACTTTGATAGTCTCCTGCCTTTTGTGTGACATATTCAGTTTTGCTTCCCTTGTCTAATTTTTCTAGATTAGTATCATCTGTTTTCATCTGTGAAAGTTCTTAGTCATCCAGGTCACTGTAGTGTAAGAAGCTTGGAAAGAAAAGCGTCTGGACTTTTTCAAGTTGCTTGAAAATGCTTCACCTCTCATCCGAGAAGCTTCTTCAGTTCTAGGGTCACGTTTCCACCATTTGACCCTGATGTCCTGATGTCTGATGTCTTCAAAAGAATCGGTCCATTTATCTGAAATTTCAATTTGATAGTGACAATTTAACTGAAACAAGAAACTGACATACTGCTCATAGCTATTGCTAATTTCCAGTCATTGTCCCTAGTTTGGCTTTTACATCCACAATACACATGTAAAATTTTACAGTATTCAATTATATAGATACAAAACTACAATAAATGTATGTTAACAAGAAAAAAAATGACCAAAATAAAATAAAATAAGTTCCTCAAACCAAAGAAGGAATATAGTTATGTAGATCACACGTCTGACAGGATAATTAAGGTCATGACATTGTCTCTCATACGAAGAACTGAAATGAAGTAAGTGAATATGACAGCCCTCTTCTCGGACACAGTTCATGCCTCCGGGTGTGGAGGGTTTTTCCTGTCATATAAGAGATGAAAGGATTGGAACCTCAACTGTTGTTAATCTTGTGATTATGTGTATTTTACAAGGTCAATTGAACGTCGGGCCTCGCAGTGCTTTGGCCTCAGTCATGCATGATGGTGTATGAAGAGTTGGAGTTAGCGGCCTTCGAGTGGTGTGCTTCTGAAATTGTAGGGCGAGCCAGACTGAAGGGGAATAGAGCTGCTGGAGATAACCAAGATAAGCGAGTGAACGCTGAGTGAATGTGATTTTGATTGTAAGGAAAAATTTGATGGCAACAGCGCATTTCAAAAGTTGGGGCGGGGCCATTTTTACCACTGTTTAGCATCCCCTCTTTTTTCTTCGTGTGATAGCTTCAGCCAGCATTTGTGAATGTCACTGGGAACTATTTTTACAGACAGTGACTTCTTAAAGTGTTCATCGGCCCATGCAGTGATTTTCATGATAGAATCGATCCCGTTTTAATGGAGTGCCACTTTTTGCCCTTGTCCCTTGTGCACAGAGATTTCTCTAAATCTGAGATGTGATTATGTACTGTAGATTGTACTGTAGTCTTAATTTTCTGTTTAGGAACATTGTTCTGGAACTATTCCACAATTTGACTGGTGAACCTTTTTGGGTAACCTCTGCTCTCTAAGATGCTCTTCTTATACACGGTCATGTTACTCACCTGTTGCCATGAAAAACTGATCAATTGCAAAATGCTGCTTCAGCTATTTCTTTTTTAACAACAACTTAATTTACCAACCTTTTGTTATATGCCTTTTAAATTCAAAGTGCAGAGAAAAATGGCGTGTAGTAGCTTGAAAATGTAAATGTAAAAAACTAATGGTAAAACTTTTTGAGTCACCTACATTAATAAAAAAATAATAATTCTGTCTCTCTCTCTCTATCTACACTTTGTGGAAAATAGTTCTGAACCCCTTACGCAATACACCTACAATATACAATACACTTTCTATACAAACTCCTTGGAAATCCATGCCATGAAACTTCTGGCGCACCGTTTGTGTGCTGATGTTAATGCCAGAGGAAGTTTGGAACAGTCCAATCATGGAGTCTTCAGAGCATTGGTGACTTTTACACACCATGTGTCGTACCACTTGGAGACCCTCCTCTGTAACTTTATGTGGCCTGCCGCTTCGTGGCTGATTGCTGTGCTTTCACTTTGCATTAATAACACTTACAGCTCATTGTAGAATATCTTGGAGGGAAGAAATTTAACAGGCTGTATTGGAAATTGTAAACTACAAAACGGAAATTGTAGTTTTCAATAGCCATATTCCTAGAACCTAACAGGTTCACTTGGGCTGTTTGCTACCTTTCTTTCTGACTTTCTTACTGTAAGCTACCTGGGAATTCTCTTGGACAGTTCTTTTCAACTTGACAAACAAGTGTCCACTGTAGTTAAATCTAGCTTTTACCAACTACACCAAATTGCCAAGACCAAGCCTTACATACCCTGTAAGGATCTTGAGAAACGTATCTATGCCTTTATCGTCTCCAGATTAGACTACTGTAACTCTCTCTATATTGGCCTCCAATCTACCCTTCTCTGCAGACTGCAGCTCGTTCAAAATGTGGCAGCACGCCTCTTAATGGGAACTGGCAGGTTTGATCCTATCACCCCCATCCTCGCTGACTTGCATTGGCTTCCCATCAAATACCGCATTGATTTTAAAATTCTGTTGCTTACCTTTAAAATCATAAATAACATTGCTCCTAGCTATCTTACTGAACTTCTCAGCTTGTACACTCCTAGGAGAGCACTGAGATCAACTGGCCAACTGCTCTTAGTGCAACCTAGGTCACGGCTGAAGACCAGAGGGGATCGTGCTTTTGCCATAGCTGCACCCAACCTCTGGAATAATCTTCCTACTGCTATTCGTCCATCTGAATCGATTCAGTCTTTTAGTGCCTGTTTCCTGCAAATGTTCCCTTATATACTTTTAATCATTTTGCTTTATTGCTGAATAACCTCTTAGTCGAGTTCTTTTTGTATTTTCTTTTACTTATTTACACTGTTTACACTAATTAGTGCTCTCCACCTGCTGGTTTATTTATACCCTGTTATTGTTCCTATCTCTAATTTATTGTATTACTGTGAAGCACTTTGGTGTACCGCTGGTTTTTAAATGTGCTATAAAGTAGTATTGTATTGTATTGTATTGTATTGTTGCCGTGGTGGCATCCTATTATAGTAGCAGACTCAAATTAAGTGAACTCTTTACAACCTGCATGGCTAGTTGCTTGATTTTACAGACCTGTGGCAATAGGCTTAAAAAACTTGAATTCAGAGATTAACAGTTCTGGCCCATGACTATGTCATCTAATGGTTGTTGGTATCCTTGACACACATTGCTCTTATTGTGTTTTTTGGGGTGGGGAAGCAGTGAATAGCTCACTGTGTAGGTCAGCAATAATAATATCCTATAAATATCCTGTCAGTTTTATGGCTCAGTGTTTTCTTAGCTGGAGACAGAGGATCACTGCTTTGCATGTTCATTCTCATGGTTTGTTTACAAAGGATTCTCCTTTGGGAAATAATCGTGACTGCCTCTCATATCAACATGTAGCCATATCGCTTGTCATTTATTTGGTCTAATTTCCCTTTGGACACATAAGATCCAAAATAGCTTAATGCTTTTAAGGATAGTAGGAAATATTAAAGGGTCTGGCTAAAGGAAAAAAAAAGTGGCATAATTTTTATAAATTTACATTCCCGTTTCGTATGTTGGCTCTTTTTCTCTTGTGGTCTGATCTTAAAAATGATACACGTAGTTTGAAAAGCCCCCTGTAGACAACTTCACTTCACTTGACTAGACTTCACTGTGGCTAAAATGAGAATGCCTGGAGTGGTGTTAAGCAGCGTGTGCTTGTCAATGTCTACACAGCAGCTCGCAGCAGCAGCGCACCATCTGCCAGGTGTTGTATAATGCAGTATTTATGTGTCTTGCTGTCCTTTGGCCTACTTGTGTGAGGCTTAAATTGAAATATGTATTTAAAGTGAACTCGTTGATGTCATTTCTTAATGTTTCGCTGTCAAGATGGGTGTCACGTAAACTGTTTCACAGAAATTGTGTTTTTGGATGGTTTTACAGTCCAAAAACCATCACTGGGTTGACAGACTACACAGCTTCCATCTCATACATCTGCAGCCATGTGCTGAGCAAGAAACTTTGAGACTATTAAACATGTAGAACATTCATATCAATGTGACTGCGCTAAAGGCACAGTCATAGACCACAGCTGTTATTGAAATTTGTTTTTGTCCTGGTAGAAGGATGTACTTGAAGTGATTTGAGCAAAGATGACAACTGATGTCTTATATATAGTTCCCTTGAAAATGTGTTTACAAATCCTATTTTTAATATCATGCAATTAGTGTATTTATTTCTTGAAAGGATGTTTGTTTTGAAATGGAGCTGCTGGATATTTGAATTTAATAAAGTACCAATTCTACATGATACTATACCACATAACCGTACTGTAACTACAGTATATCGTGTCTGTTAAACATTTCTGTTCTGTACCAGACTATATTTCTGTATTTCTTTTACACAGATATTTAATTTTTTTTTTACATTCATTTAAAGATTCTTATGCCATTGCAATGTGTATAGTGTATAAATGATAGTTTCGTATATGGAATTTCTTAAATATCTCTCTGTCCAGGGTCATCAATGCAGGGAAAAGCACATTAAATGAAGATCAGGCTTGCTGTGAGGTCCTGGTTGTTAAAGGGAGACCTGCAGGAAGCCTCCCGCCTAACCGAACCCCCACGACCCGCAGGAGATCTTCCCTGCCTAATGGTGAGAGTCTGGGCCTCCAGGAGAACCTGGTAAGTCAAAATGGAGGGTTTGTTTCTACCCCCCCCCCCCAACCACCACCACCACCACCCCCACCACCACACCATCACATCCAGCTTCACGGACATTCTGCAGATGCATTTTCACGACAGGAAAGGACGACAGAGAAGGATAGAGTACAAACCATGCTGTGATCTATTGCATTTCTTCTCCATTTGTTATCTTTAGAAATGGCACGCTGTCTGGATGGATAAACATGTGGGCAGCCAAAATAATTATTTGCACTGAAGTAAAAAGAATGGAAAAAAAGGAAAAGTCTTTTGGTGAAATCGGGTGGAAAGTTAATAAAGGATCACTGAGCAAGTGAAACGGTGTTCTACGAGACAGTCTTATATTTGCAGACCAAACGTTTGACAGAATTTAGCAGATTATCATGCATGACTTAAGGGTCATAATGCCTCCTCTCTTTCTAGAAAAATGCCATGGCAGACTGAAGCCTTTACATTTTAGCTTTATTGATGAAAGTAATGCAGGTAGAATGAGTTCATCAGTGAATTCCCCTGGGGCCTGTTGGTGAGACCCAGCAGTTTATTGGAGCGGACAGCTTAGCGTCCTTCACACTCCACGGTAGCCTTCAATGACTCTTCACACATTTCACTTTAAAGTCACCCTTGTTTGCTTTCACAAGAACATTGTGTCAGATGGAGTACTAAAGAAAACTGTGTATCATTATACCAAAATGCAGTGTCACTGCTCTACTGTCACGACATATTGACACACTTAATTCGATCACTTGCAATTTATCCCATTCCCTACAAGGCAGAGAAAAGACGAAAAGCGCAAAATGTTTACCAGCTCTTTAAAAGTCCTTTGTGATTACAGTATACTAATACTGCTCATAAAATTTCCTCTCAGCTCACCAGTACTTTAATCAGGCCCAGCCGGAGCCTACAGCAAACTCATGCAAGTATCTCATGACTCACTTTCGCAGTGATGTAGCGTTAGAGCCTTTTTAGTGCTCTTTGCCTGCCTCGTAGACTCGCGCTGTAGAATTTGCCTGCGCCATATATAGACAATCAGAGGCTTACTTTGCGCAGCAAAATGTGATGCATGCAACAGCAACTCTGTGGCTATGTGACTTCATTACTGATAGGGGAGCTGTGCTGATATGTAACTTTATACAGAAATCAGGCCGTTGTTTTTTTTGTTTTTTGTGAAGACCAAAAACTCAAAGGTGAGCAATGAATCAGCCAGATCTCAAGACGTTTTGAATCTTATGTGGGAGGTGAGACTTTGTAGATCAACACAGAGGACGCGGTGTGCGGTTTCAGAGCACAAACTGCATCATACCGCACCTACTAATACCTCCAGATTTAAGCGAAAGCAAACATTAACATCAGGTTCATTCACTTATGGGCATCGTGCATATCTGTGGGGAGGTTTGAGCTCAGATCAGATTACGAAGTCTTCACACTGAAGACCGATGGGATGAATTTGAATGCTGTGTAGAAAGGCGCTCTCATCCACCAACTGTGAGCAGCGCAATTTACATAGTACAGCTTCCTGTTTGTGTTTGAGAGCTGTACCTTGAGTTCAACTGGTTCTGATTTGGTATTAAAAACGTCTCTCTTTTCGCTCTGTGCACCATTACAATGATAGTACATCAGCGGTTCCTAAATGTCACGACTCTTTGCCCATCAGGCTGTACTTCACATACATCCACCTTTGATATTCAGTGGATTTTCGGCGTGCAGTTCATAGATCAGTATGAATGCAAAGTCAGATGAAGTTCCTCCTCTCGCATTTTGCATACTTAATGTTGACACATTTTTATTTACTTTGATTCTTATCTGTTTCCAGGACAATTCTGAAGACCTAACTTTACACTACTGGGCATTGTTCGATGGCCACGCTGGCTCCGGGGCAGCTGTAATGGCCTCTCGTCTTCTCCACCACCACATTGCCCTGCACCTACAGGAAGTGATGGAGATCCTCTGTACTCCTAACCTTGTGCCGCCCACGTGCCTGGGTGAGGAACCTATCAATCACCACCTCACCCCTTCATCTCAGCGTGTCCTTACAAGGGCTGCATCGCTCCGGGGTGCCGCAGGGGCTCCGGGTTCCCCCAGTACCCCACCGACACGGTTCTTCACAGAGAAGAAGGTGTCGCAGGAGAGCCTGGTGATTGGAGCCATCGAGAACGCCTTCAAAGACATGGTAAGAGGCACGTGCATGATCTGTAGTTGTCTTTTGACCTGTAAACATTCCATGTCAAATGCATAGATTGTATATAAAAGATGGATTTAGCCACAGTGGGGTCATAGATTGATTTGCAGGATACCATCATAAAGGCTCGAGAGGAGCATTTTGATTCTATGGCACTTTTGGGCCTTTCATTAAAGTCAGGTGGTGTATCTCTAAGCAGAGCACTTTACTGCCCACACCTGTTTTTATCTGCTAGTTAAAAAAAATGCTGTAACAATGAAAAGAATACAAAGAAAAGCTTCTCCTGCTCTTCATAAAAATATGCTTTTCCAGCTGTTTTGCCTGGAAGCAGGGCGTTGCTGGAAATGAAAAGATTAACTGTATTCTGTTAAGCTAAGCTACAAACCCATAACCACATAATACTTTTTGATCACTGCACACACCTTTAGCTGTCATACACATACAGGGAATTTCCAAACTACTGTTCTTTTGCATCCCATGCTCCACTTCATCACTGCCTGCGCACATACTATAAAATTAATAATCTTCACATCTGTTAGCCTCTAGTTGCTATCAGTAAATGCTGATTTGTCATGATTAGACAGTCAAGCCAATTGCACATAAGCCTCCTAATTTCCTGCTGGTGTGTAAAGGTGAGCGCGTACACACATACAGCACACAATATAATCTGCTGTTTACGGTAACCATTGTTTCTGTTTATCAAAGATCCATTCTCTAATAGTCTGACTGTAAAAAAAAAAAAGTGTTGTTTGTGTTCACGGTGCATGAATGGTCATTTACATTTTATTGCTATATGTTTGCTGGCGTTTTTGGTTGTTGTTTTTTTTAAACAGTGTAGAAATGACCCGAGATACCCTTTCTGCTGCTAATTTGCTCAGTATGTTCAGTTATACAGCTGTAAAATAATTATGTGCTACACTATTAAATGACTTTATCCATTAGAGCCTACATTAGTATTTCTCATTACGTCTTTGCCTTCTTCATCTGCCTCTTCCTCTACCACTGCCTTCTCTTCTCCCTAATTTCCATGCAATCCTCTTCCACCTCGCCTGCTGATGCAAAGTCGGGGCTCTAACACATGAAATCATCCATTCTTGTTTATTCCCAATATTGTGACACTTACTTATTGTCAGCGGATTAGATGTGCAACCCTACCGTCTCCAGGCAGCTGACAATAAGGTGGCTACATAGCAACAATCACAAGTTAACATTTTCCCAGTTAATATTACGCGCCTAAAACTTACACTGTTCCTCTAATTAACAGTTTCTCACATTGTATGAGAGTTTCTTTACTAAGTCTCTGACTCCAGCGATGTTAGATCAAAGGAAGTTTCACTAACACTGGCTAACAGCAGCTAATCAGTGCAAAAAGAGCCAACTGCTGCCATCCAGTGGTGAGATTTTCCACATTGTACCTTTTAAATTGACTGTTTCTGTATTAACAGTACTGCAGGTTTTAATGAGCTTGTCTTGAGCATCATCCTCCAGCACTTTAGAGAGGAGATTATGTGTCTCTGACAGCTGGTTAAAGGTGATAAGGTACTTATGGTGTGATCACACGCTGAAAATTTTACCAGAAGCCTGATAGCCTGAGTCAGACAGCAAGTAGCACAGCCAGGAGAAGTAATGTACTTTCGCCATAAGCTGCTGCAAGTCACAAGCACTCAGCATCTGGCTGCGCTCTAAGTGGATGCTTGAGATTTAACCCGTGGAGAGGCCATGGGATCAAGAGCAGAGCTAATCAAAACATTGCTAGCCTGTGTGATTGGGGGGGTCAAAGTTCACTTTTTCAGTTTCACCTTCAGGCTCTCTGTTCTTGATTATGTTTGTAATGATCCTATGCACGCCTGTATAGGGAGATTAAATTCTTAAGTCAAAGAGGGTTTCATTTGCAGTCATTCACAGTTTCCCATGTAAACAGTATAATGCCTGACAGCCAGTTTACATAAGCAAAGGTTTTTAGGTATGTTCAGAATTCCAGTAAAACAGGTGAGAACTAACTGCTGATGCACCTGTACCTCAAACATGGAATTTACCAATGATTAAAGCCGGAATCTTTTTTGTCCCTTAGCCCATAATGTGCATTTCCTGGGAACGTTGCTTCCGGCTGCTATGTTATACACAAGGGATCGCCACATGTTTGATTTGGAAGATTTTTAGGTGATATGTTCTTTATAACACAACACAATTTGTGTCACTACACTTGTGTACACCACACATCCCCATGTTTAGACTAATATCTGTGTGGTGGAGGTAAAGCCCCTCCTGTAATAGGCTAGGCCTGACACTGAATTATCCTTTTGATTGCAAAATCATAAATTCTAACTGTAAAATGTAACACGGGTCAGATATTGGTGAATGGCAGTGTGGACCAGTCTCCTTGGAGAAATCAGTGCTTAATGCCGTCTAGTGCTTCCATTTGTTGACCACTAGGTGGTAGTGTGTGGTTAGTAATGTTTAAGAAGCAGCACTGCCAACCAAAGAGAAATTGTGGACTGGTGCTCATCTGTCTTTGTAGGTACAGCAATGCTTTTTGCAGGATTAGTTAACTAAAAGTTCAACTGTGAATTGTTGATTATTGAACTGCTGATTCGAAGTTGTGAGGGATGTTTTTTTGAAACAGACAGGGTGATTACTGAAACAATGTCAGGCTAACATTTGTTGAACATTGTGGCATTAATTAGTAGAAATCAGGTTTCGGGTTCAATTCAGTGTTTCACCGAAAAGGCAGCACATTCTCTGTGTTGGAGTCCTCCTTACTCTTTTCTTTTCTACTTGCAACCAACACTGGCTTCTTTTCCTCCCGAACTGGCCCCTGAAAGAGCTATTTTTAAAGCATATATTTTAAAGCACATACAGTGTGTTTTAGGTTCATTGTTCCGTGCTACACTAATTTGTTTCTTCAGGTGGTCACAGCGAGTTTTTTCTTACAACACAATGGGTTCTAATTACAGTACTTACTCTCCTCCCGAGCCATGTTCCCTCTAATTTTTCATGTGCCTGAGCGAACACACAAACTCCCTGAGCGATCCCTTTGACCACTGTGAGCGACATCAGACGTGTGCACTGTGGTCACGCCGGCATCTTATCCATCCAAGTTACATGGTTTATTAAAATAATCAAATTACAGCGTTTACATTTATGTTAGACTACTTTTAATTAACTGCTTTAGCCCACTTACAATAAAAATTAATAAATAAATCTTGTTCATGACCTGTGTAGTATGTGAACACTATTGGAAGTAAAAATAACTTGAATTCCAATTTCGAAAACACAACTTACTTTTTTTGTTATTTTTTTAATAAAGCTTTGACTTGTATTATGAGTATGAGTCTGTGGACTGGGAGAGAGTCCTGTGATTCTCTGTCTGCAAAATGCAGTATATAATGACCAATTTTGGGCAATTAATTATATAGTTACTTCTTCAAAAAAGTAACTCAGTTTGGCAAACAACGCAAGTTTTTTGCAGCTATTTTTTTAAACGCAGCCAAGGCATTTTTAAATAAACATTTCAAAATATTTACAGAACAATCAGCTGTTCTGCATAAAATCTGATGCCACACAAATTATTTGTGCCACAACAAAAAATATTTCTGTCCACTATGAGATAAAGGAGAACAACAGCCTGATACCTGCAGGCCTGACAACAGGAGATGTATCACTCCTGTAACACCTGTAACATTCAGTAGTCGCCTCATTGTTCTGACACACACAACAAAACTATTGACTACAATACACACTAACTACACAAGATTTGCGCTAAACGTCACAAATCTCTCACATCTCAAAACACCGCCGTCACTCCTAAAACTTCCCCCCGTTTCTTAACAACAAGATGTCACGTTGCCATATCATTTTTTGATTGGTCGACATGGTACTTTTTTGGACCAATTGGAAAGGTGGGGGTGGGGTTTGTTTTTGCTCACAGGCTTTCGAGCCTTTTTTCTTATAAAACGCCGTTTTTACCGTTTCTTCCCGCAGTAAATATAAACAACGATAGTATTCAGGAAGAAAACCAAACATTGCATATTTTTATCACAACTCTGGTTTTACGTGGCCTATCAACACAATTTAAAAACTGGTATGAAGTCCACACTTTTTCCGTCAATTGTTCCGTCTGTCCTGCTCACATCTCCAATGGTTGTACACGTTGTCATTAACGTGGCTTCACTCCACATCAGCCACGCCGCTTTGCTAGCTAAAACACCGGTGTCGGCACATAAGGACGCTGTCATAGCCCGTCAATGACGTTGATTGGCTGCGTATATACGCATCGGCTGAACTATGGGATACGGTGGCATCGTTCTAATCCCATATGGGAGCAGCCAGTCACTTACTGACTAACACTGCAAAACATGATTGTTGAAGTATTAATTTTAATTTAAATTCAGGTTAGGTTTTTTTTTTGTGCGCAACGTAGATTTTCTGTGCGCAGAGACCGTGCCAACAGTGCGCAATTGCGCACGTGCGCAGCTTAGAGGGAACGTTGCTCCCGAGCTGTCACTTATTTTAATTTCAGTAATCATTTTTCCGTAAAATTAGATGCAGTTTGGTTCAAATGGCACACATTTCCTCTTGGAACAAAACACTGTCAGCTCTGCTCCTGCTGAGAAACTACCCAAAAGCTGATTTTGGCAGAGTCTCACCCCTCAAAGGATCTAGACCTGTTTTTGTTCAAGGAAGCTCGTTTTTAGCCCCCCTAAAGAAAGCAAGCAAGAAAAAAGAAAATGGAAAGTGTCAGGGAGTCTTGGAAAGATTTGGTCTCACATGAAAAATCTCACTCAATCTCTGTATCTTATCAGCAGGCTCCACCTTCAGTTCTGGCACACATCCCCATTGGAAATAGAGGGACTGTTGATTCCTGATAAGCCCTGTGTAAATATCAAAACCAGTGTTAGCTGATAGACGGAGGTGTATCACCTGAGCTGTATCTTAAGCCAGGGCAGGAAATATGTCAGTACTCACTCACCTTTTTTTTTGTCCAATTTATTTGTAGATCATATCATATATACACTTCGTACTATGTATACATCGTATAATCGAGTTTAGCCATAATAATTGTCTTTGTACATTACACAACTACATTTTCAAAAGCTACAACATGCTTATTGACTTTTTAAACTAGCCTATTAGCTTTGCAGCTTTAAGAGAGAGACTCAAACCAAGGTTAACTTAATTGGCTGAAATACCAGCTCATCAGTTAAAAATACCTAAGAGCCAGAACGAGAGAAATATGCGTACAAGTTATAATCACAGGTTATTTGAAAGTGTTGTGGCCCGAGCTTTAAAATAGTTTTGCACATAACCTCTCATGTGACAGTGTAACATTTAGATTTATAGTTATAGCCTGTACTGAGCTAACAAGCTGCTTACTGTAGCAGTATATTTATCATGCAGACACAAAACTAGTATTTATTTGCACAGTAGTCTACTGTGCAAATGTTTTGACTCATCCCTCATATCCTCATATCATTCACTTGAGTCCCACCACCAGGACTGCATACAGTCATTTGAAAACATTGTTTTTCATACGGCCGTATAGCAGTAGTGAACAGTAGGTACCTGTCAAATAGGCTTGTGGCTGTGTGAGTGTGTGTTTGATGCTAGGAGTGTTTTTCTAATTTGCAAAAAGATTTCACCCAAAGGTATTTTTTCTGCATTCAAAATCAACTGATAGTTACTGCTGTCGCTAATTAGTTCAAAATGATTAATTCCGTTAATTACCTGCCACACTGTCGATCATGAGAGCTCTCTTGCCTGACATTAATCCTCTTTTCCTGTTGTGACTGTCCTGAGTTGTTTCTTTTCATTTCCTGCTTTTAGACCTAATATCTTTGGGCTCTCTCACTGATTCAGTAAACTCACTAAATGATAAGGCTGGTCTGAGCAGTACTGTGGCCTTCCTGACTGGAAGAACAACACACAAAAAACTTTTGGTCTTCGAAAATGCAGTCACACAAAATGTGAGTGTACCTCGTGTCTATTTTTGACTTTTAGAGCAACTTAAAGATTTTTTTTAAAACAGCAACATCCAAATTATTTATGGGCGCACTATACATAAATATCAAATTCAATTAAGTTTTATTTATATAGCACCAAATCACAACAACAGTGACCTCAACCTGCTTTATGTTGTAAGGTAAAGACCCTACAATAATATAGATAAAACCCCAACAATCAGAGGACCTCCTGTGCAACCAATTGGTGACACTGGGAAGAAATCCTGCAGAACCAGTTAGTCATCTACCGCAACGAACATGGTTGATGGGCTGATTGGTTGATGGGTTGGTACAGCTAAAAGATTTTTTATGAAATGTTTTCCCAGTTGTGTTTCACTGAGGTGAGATTCAACTGTCTGATGCGATATAGGCGTGAATCGTACGATACCTTTTGTGTATACTAGCTGTACTTTGAAGTGGGAAACAATTGCTTAATTCTGGTTGGACTCTCCTTGTTAGAATGTCAGATTAAATTTGTTTTAATTCACTTAATGTCCCTTTAATTGTTGGTATGTTGGCTAGTTTGTTGATATGTTGCACGACTGATGTGACACTGAGGGATGTCAGAGCTACCAGTATTACTTGATGGTATTTTTCTTCCTTCCAGGAAACAATAAAGATGCAGAGCAGTGCAAAAAGTGCTTCAGCATTTATAGTAGTATGGTATAAAGAGAAGAGCATGTATGAGCGTTGAACTGCTCTACCTCTTTCTTTTTTTTGTCTGCCTTCTGGTTTAAAGCTCAGTTGTTTCTTCCTGGCTCAGGCGCACAGGAGAAAGGTGTAGATGTTTATGCAGACATTTTCATTATTGAAGACTTGCCTGCAGCAAGAGGTATTGGATACAGCAAGGATAAATATGCATAGCTCGCTATGGATTCATAATTCATCCAGGGTGAAGGACACATTTGTTCACCCCTCCTATCCTCCAACCCCTTCCTTCAGCCCCCTACCCCCAAGAGTGTCTGCTGGAGTGCAACCCACACACACGCGCACTCAGATTCACACTTAATGCATCTTACATCTGGACACGAACACATAGTTATGCACACAGAGTGCGCACACGCTGCATTCCACTCCTGTCAAAGAACCACACTGCTCGCACTGCAATGCTCGCACGCTTACAGAGTCATATTCAGATGGAGGGCGTCGGCGGCAGAGCAGAGGGCGATACGCTTTAGTGAGGGGTGACATCCCTCATGGGACAAACGTGCTAGGGATGGACTTGCTGCAAATGTGTTTGCCAATATTATCGGCCCCACTCAGGTTGTTGATAGTGACACCGGGATGGGAATGAGGTGCCTGATGGGGTCACTCGTTTCCCTGAAATATCTTTCCGCTTCTGTAGTGCGATTTAAAAAAAACAGAGGAGCCGTTACTAGCAGACCAGCAGACGGAGAGCACAAAAAAGGGTTAAATGCAGTCTGAGCGGCTTGGTTCAAATTTACGTTAGTGCTTTGATTAATTCAGTGACAGGTTAATTATTCATCTAATGAATGAACTGACGGCACGGTTTTCTTCAAATCATTTTTGGTTTAATTAGCACCAAATTAATCTGGGCTAATTAGCTGGTGTAATAATCAGTGGGCCCCTCCAAACTTTCTCATCTGTCCTTTTTGGTTTCCATTATTTTTTATTGCTCCTTGACTTGTGGCACTCTTGATAAATGAATTCATTATGGTGCTATAATTGATAATGGCATCATGACAGGATTTAAGTATCAAGGCAATATTTTTCTCAGTATCAGTTTTAAGCTGTATGAGGAAAAACAGTTCTTCAAAGCTGTGGTGATTAGAAATATGACGGTGTGCAGAGGATCGGTTGTGGATTATGTGTCCTCGTCATCAGAAGAGTAATCTGTCTGTGTCTCTGCGTGTTTTGTCTTTTTTTAGGATTCACAGATAGAAAAGGAGAAGGCAGTCTACAACATCTCAGGTGGCTGCACAGCGCTGGTGGTCGTCTATTTACTCGGCAACCTCTATGTGGGGAATGCCGGGGACAGCAGGTGTGATACACATGCAATGAGTGTATATGTAAGATACAGTGGGGGGGAAATGATTATTTGATCCCCTGCTGAGTTTGTGAGGTTGCTGCTTGGATGTGAGGAACAGTCTCTGGTGTTTATGCTGGTTTTATTTTAATGGAGAGACAGAATATCAACCAAAAATCCAGAAAAACATCTCTTTGCATAAAAGTACACATTGATTTGTATGTCACTGACTAAAATAAGTATCCCCAAGCAAAACACGAACAAAGCATAATGCTTCCACCTCTATGCTTGACTATGGGGATGGTAATCTTTGGGTCATCTTTGGTGACTGCGGTCCAACTCCCTTCAGCTCATTTACAAGCTCCTGCCGTGTAGTTTTGGGCTGATCCACCACTTTTCTCATGATCATCTTCACCCAATGAGGTGATATCTTACATAAGAGCTCCAGACCGAGAAAGATAGTTTTTTTCCAAATAATCATACCAACAGCTTCACATGAAGCTTCTTGTTAATGGTCTAACAGCTCGTTGGTCTTGCCCACAGTGGAGGGGAGGTTTTAATGAATTAAACTGATTCTGTGGACAGGTGTCTGTGGACATAATGAGCTATAATCAGGAGTATCTCTAATTGCTTGGTTGATTGTAATCTGTGTGGCACACAAGCGCACAACCAATCTGTAGCAGCAGATCGTAGTGGATCAAACACTTACTTCCCTTAATAACATTTTAAATTAATTTAGAACTTTCATGTGGCGTGTTTATTTGTTCTGGATTTTTGGTTAATATTCCGTCCCTCTTCATTAAAATGTTGTTTATTTGTATGTGAGAAAACTAACAAATTCGAAAGAGGTTCAAAAATAGTGATTTCCCCTGTAGCAGAATCTTCTTTGTTTTTGTCTCTGTGTTTCTCGCTCACCTTCTCGTGCCCTTTAGCCTACAGGAACAACTGTGTCCCTTCCTGGATGAATAGAGTTTTGCTTTGTCTGCTCCTCTCCCTCAGAGCTATCATTATCCGGTCTGGGGAAGTCATTCCCATGTCAGCAGAGTTCACACCAGAGTCAGAGAGGCAGCGACTGCAGTTCTTGGTAAGAAAGAACCTTTCTCAGCTCCTTTCTAGCAAGCACAGCTGTCAGATATTAGCAGAGCTGGCCTCCCCTCCTGTTGAGACACCAGCTATGCTTAGCTCTGTCTCTCTTACACGGCCTGCTCTCTGTGCCAGCTTAATAGACTATGGAATTGTTTTTCCTATCCCTAGGGCGCGTCAATCTTCTTCTCTTTCTGTTTTTTTTTCTCTTTTCATATCACAGGCCTACATGCAGCCCCACTTATTAGGGAATGAGTTTACACATCTGGAATTCCCAAGGAGAGTGCAGAGGAAGGAGGTGGGGAAGAGGATGCTGTATCGTGACTTCACCATGTCAGGATGGTGGGTTAACTAATACCTTTTTTTTTTTTTTTTGGACTAAATTACTGATTGAATGTATGTCAGTGTTCAGTATCCACCTGGGAGGATAACAGTTTGTTTTCTGCACTCAAGTCCTTCACATTTGTTAGAAATGCTGTCAATGTTATTTAGCCACATATCTGGTTGAATGCATTTATGAGCCTTCTGAGAGAAATCTCTGCAGCCTAGACTATTATTTACATTCCATAGATTTTTTGTACAATGTACCCTATAAAGAAATTCATCTGTGTCCCATTCACCGAGTAATTCAGTTCATTAGCACTCCACAATCATCTTGGGAACTTTAGATTGTAAGGTCAGTAATTAATTATTAACACAATGGGGAGAAGAAACTTTACTTTAAAAAAGTCATTCAAGTCATCAGTTGTCATAAAGAGGTCAGGAACTGTCCTTCGTATTTCTTCTTTTGTGTGTTAGTGGGCAAAGCGAAGACCTTGCTCTGTGTCCTAAAGTAAAGAGAAAAATAAAAAAGTGTACAGATGGAGAGAAAAGGAGGGAAATAGAAAAAAATGTATAAAAACTAAGAACTGACAAACAGTAAAAGCTGAGACCAGGGCACCAGAGAAATGGAGGCAGGGAAGGTTATAAACATTGTGTTTACATTTTCTTTATGTAGAAATGGGTTCAAGGATAGATCATCTAATTTTGTAGCACTACTAAAGCTTTTAGTTATCTCTGCTGAATCTTCACCTTTTGCCATGGCTGGAAAAAGTAAAAACAATCTATTAAACTAGCATTACCGCAATTCAAAAACACTCAGAAATAAAGTAAGTTCTTCATCGCTACCTTTACAATTAAACAGCTAATTTAGCATATTTACCCAGGTAACTTAACACAAGATGGATTACAAAATTAAACGTATAGAACAGTGCAAAGCTCTATAAATGAAAAAAAAAGGAAATTGGGTTACAGATTTATTAAAAATACATGCAAACACAACACTCCTTATATTAATAATATTGAGGTCTTCATTCTGCTTAGGCTAGCCAGTGAGATTTGCTATTCATGTATGATTTTATAGCATTGACGGTGTGTTTGGGTTCATTGCCACGCTGATAAATTCAGCCAATCAGATGCTTTCCAAATGGTGTTGCATTGCGAATCAAAATCTAGACAAGTCAAAAACCATGACAGAGCCTCTACCATGTTTTACAGTTGGCTACAGACACTCACTGTTGTACCTCTCAGCTGACTTCCTCCTTACATCCTGATAACGATTTGACCGCTTTTAAAGTTTGAATAATTCATAAGTCAGTTTTCCTTTTCAACAAGGGGAAAAAACATTCTTCCAAAAATGCTCAGGTACAAGGATGGGGTTAAAAAGCAGCCAATATCCAAAGAAAATCTTTGAAAGACCTTCAGAGAGCCTTTTATGAAGTTTGTGGATATGATTGTATTCTTATTAACTAATGACTCATGCATGCAAGCACACACAGACACATGTAAAGAGAGAGGGGATGAGAAAAATCTAACGCTCAAAACCAGATGCTTGTTTCGAAGTGCAGGTGCAGGTGTATTATTATTATTATTATTATTATTATTATTATTATTATTATTATTCACGTATCTGGTTTGTGGTGGTGGACCACAGTAAGTATTGATGCTCTACTTGAGGTGTGACTAATTCTTATAAAAGACTCACTGTTTTAGGAAATTGAACTGGTAACCTGTGCTGACACTGAGAGTGTGTAATATAGTTTTAAAAACAGGTTTTTTTTTATCCATTATTAATAATTACAGATCATTTAAGTTGATATGTAGAATGATCCCTTATTAAAAATCCCCAAACTAGTGGAAAAGGCTTTTCAGTTTAGAAAGCCTGCTTTTTAATGTGATTCTAATCAGACTTCTGCATCTCAGTCAGGATGCTCTGGGCTCTTAAATAGGATTTCAGTGCCGTTTGTGTCACTTGCACTGCGACATACGTTGGCAGCATTCTATCCAGAGCTGGCTGAGATACTAAGCAGAATCCATGCAATGACTGGCAGAGCTAATTATTGTGTGTTTTATGTTTTGTAATGTTTCTACAAAACTACTCGTATTGCTATGCAGACGCATTTACAGGAGAGACACTCCTATCGAAGGAAAGCGTGAACTGAGGATGAAGTGGGTGACTGACGAGAGTTGAGCAGTATATATTTTTTTGACTCCACCTCCATGAAGTGGTGTTTTATGGCTCTGCTCAGTTGAAGCAGATGTAGGTCAGTCAGTGGCTGCACTTCTTATTGGGCCCAAAACTCTCACTCAGTCTGCCTGCTTACTGTCTGAGCAGCAGAGACAGCCTGTGATGTATTTTTAATCAGGTTCTACCCATAACCCAGTTATGGCTCAATTTCACCCGGACTAAGTCTGGGCCTTAAATTAGTACCCTGTCAGCTGCTGTAGCTAATTGATCTGAAGTGCACGGCTCTGACTTAACTGTGTCATCGTCTATAGGTGCAGATTATATGCTGTATAGGGAGAGAGGATCTTTTTTTTTTTTTATCTTTCTTCAGCTTGATGTCTGTGCATGTATATGTGTATGTGCAGCCTGTGTGCCCACATGCTGTGAGTGCGTAGGCGTACGCTGGCGTCCAATTCCCTCAAAGGCATCCGTGATCAAGGCTGCAGTCTAATGAAGGCATACAGGCCTGCAGCCCACCTCTCTGTCTCCCTCCCTCGCTTTCTTTACCTCCCCTCCCTCGGCCAGTTGGACCAGATTGAGGTTCTGGCGTTGGCATCGTAGGCTGTAATAGTGGTCATTGGCCGGCATGGCAGGCTGTGTTATTTGCCCAGAATGATGGATGTTGAGCAGTCGGCCGTGTTCGCCGTAATGTAGACGCTGCGGTAACACAGGCGGGCAGGTGGAGGGAGGGAAGGAGGTTGGGGAAGAGGGGTGGGTGGCTGGAGTAAGGAAAAAGAAAAAGAAGTAAATGGATTGAGGTAAGATGTAAAGATTGATAAACAGATGAAGGAAGGGTGATTGGTATGTTGTGTTGGTCACAAAGGAGGGAAGGGATGAATGACAGTGAATGGCTGTGAAGCACAAACAGTCGTATCAGTGGCATTCACTCAAAAGTCTTTAAGGTATACTTTTCTTCTTACAGAGTGTTGTATGTAAGAAGAAAAATAAATTACCATGGTCAGCCTTGAAAACAATACTGGGTTCTTGTGGGCAAACACTTTTTTCAAGGTACTTGGCAAATAGATTTTTCCAGGCATCTCGGGAAAACGCGCCTCGTCTCATCTGCTTCTCTCTCTTCATGTAATCCCACACTGACTCCAAGACGCTGAGATCGGGGCTCTGTGGGGGCCAGACCATCTGTTGCAGGCCTCCTTGTTGCTAGAGATGGTTCTTCATGACTGTGGATGCATGTTTTGGGTTGTTGTCAAGCTGCAGAATGAATGAATTTGGGGGCTGATTAGATATCTCCCTGATTATAGCGTGCGATCCGTCTAAACAGCCATAGTGCTGAAAACTTCACAAAGTGCTGTATTAATTTCGCCCGCCTGGAATCTCTCTGTCTTCCAGCCCTCCATCTGCTCCTTCTTTCTTTTTCCATTATGGCTTTGTATTGGTATGACTGATGCCTACAGCTTGCATTAGAGGAGTCGCTGGGTCACTGCCATTTTCTCTGGCCTTGCTTCGCTCTTGAAAGCACCTCTCAATCTATCAAGGTTGACCAAAAAAAAAAATTTTTTTAAACCAACTGTCAATTGCACTAATTTGTGTGACTCATCCAGTGCTGACACGGCCTGTTACAATGTCACCTCAGTATCTGTTGACAGGTGTGTATATATAGCAGTGTGTAAGCGAGTTATGACGCAGCGCATGCACTGCCAATGTTTTTCTGTCACCCCCTCTTTGCAGCGGGCGGAGGTGACACCACCTTCTTCCCTCCTGTCCACCTTTTAGTCACCTGCAGGGAAAACATGATACAACCCCTTCTGCCATCTTTCCCTGGTGTGCCCGCCCCCCTTTTAGTCACATGCTGCAATGTATCAGGCAACCAAACATCCTGCGGTGCTTTACAATACTGCAAAGTTTCATACTGAACCAATACCAAGTAAATACAGGGTCAATAAAAGGCAGGTCATGTAGGAGAGACTTATGAGATGAATCATCATTAATTTGCCAATTCTGAACCCATTTTCACCAATAAATCCCTGTGATTTTTATTTTTACTTTACATTTCATGTATTTTGATTTGGGGTTTTTGAAGATCTGGAGTGTAAATGTACCTGCCTCTACAGCACTTTACTGTAGGTTAGACGTGCCCAATTGATCTGATACCAATACCAATTCCAGCGGTAGTATTGATACTGTCGATATCTGGTTCCATTCGCCCACCTCTAACATCCCCTGAGCTGGGAAGCTGTCGGCATCAGTGTGGTCAAACAGCGCGGCACTTGAGCAACTTTCTTTGCTGTTTTTAGAACTCAGTGTCCCAGAGCAAGGAGCAGGTATCATAACAGGATTAATGTGTATCTTTCTCATTCTGTCACACTCTTGTTATCTCGAGTCAGACAGGCTGGATTCGCTGTAAACACTCGTCTCGAGGGGGAGGCCGTCCCTGACAGCAGGCTCTGGGGATTTATCCAAGACATCTTTGAAATAATGACAGGAATGCGTGTCTCTGTGTCGTAGTTTTTGTTTGTTGTTTGTTGTTTTTTTCAGGAGATTTGACAAATCTTGAAGGTGAAACGGTAAAACAAAAGAAGTTTTAAGTGGCACAGCAGAAGTAGCACCTCTTCTTCTTTCTTTTTTTTTAACAAAAACAGTGAACCCTCTCTCGGTAACTGGTTTTAAGTTTCGTATCACCGGTCCTGCTATTTTAGATCTAAGAAACTGATGAGGAAATCCTTCTGAAGGCTCTTATTTGGTAATACAGCTCTCCTCGCTTAGATGAGGCTCTAGACTGTATTCCTGTGTTTGTGGGCTGTGTTCTCTGTGATAGTTCTTGCTTTCACAGTAAAAAAAAAAGAAAAAAGTGCTGAGTGCAGCAGTGTAGCGCTCGCCTAAGGTGGAAACATATGGTCTCTCTGAGTGAAACCAGCAGTAATGTAGAAACCATCCTGGTCCCCGCTAATCTGAAGTACATGGACTGTGGTGTGCTGGGCAGACTTGGGTCACATTCACAAATGAAACATTTGTCTTTTTAGCAGCTTTTCAAACTAAACATTTATTTTCAGGAAATATCCCTACATGAAAAACATCCCCCGATTCACATTAGGCCACTTTTATGACCATTCTGAATATTCTTTTCCTCGCTCCCTGTGATCTGACGGCTAAAATAAAGAGAAACCTGTGTTTCTAATTGTATTTTCAACCAAGTCAGCGCTCGCTCAAGAGCCAGAACTTTATTCACAGCACCTGGTGTGAGTTCTGAATGGAAAACTCTGACCTGGCAGCTCTCGTGGAAATTGGCTGGGTTTTGTTATGTATCTGGTACAGTAAAGTTACACAGCTGCCCCTGTGAAGTACAGCTGCTCGCAGATGAATAGGAGCACACGCACCACGAGCAAGAGTGCTGGGTTTCTTCACTTCGACTTTCCGAATTGTAAAGGTGAAAAGTGTATCTCTTAGATCTGTGATGAATACAGCGAGCATTGTACAGTCTTCCTCCTCACAGCGCAGCTCTGTCTGGTCCCAGTGTGAAGATGGTAAATTATTCATTAGTTCGCGTGGGGAGTTTAAAGAGTGCTCTGAGAACAGGAGGATGGAAAGTGTGGATTCTCTTGCATCATTTTAGCTGCTTTACTTTCAGACCTTCAGAAGCGTACACGCGCAGGCGCCACAGACAGTTGCAGAAAACCAACAGTGCACCTAGACTGTCTCGTGCAGGCGTCTTCTTTGTCACTAGGGATACCTTCACAGGATCAGTTAGAAACGGGGGGAAAAAGAAAGTGAGAGAATTAAGCTAAGGATCTCTGTGTGTTTGTGTGAATTTATAACTCTGCCTTTTCTCTCTCTGTGCCAGTCCCCTCGTGTCAGCAGCAGGGCCTGTGGGAAGGAGAGAGGGTGGGGGTATGGAAGTGAAGTAGCTCTAGGGCATGTGTGTGCAGCCTGCTATAAACAGGAAGAAAAAAAAACCATTAACATGTTCTGTATTCTTTGCACAGGGCATATAAAACCATAGAGGAAGATGACCTAAAGTTTCCCCTGATCTACGGTGAAGGGAAGAAGGTAAGAAGTGCTTCCACAGCCTCATGTGCCATGCATGTAATCAAAGCTCACCAGGGCATCATTAGTACACCCGACCTCACATCACCCAAATCGCTGTGTAGAGACATTCCTGGCCTTTTTGAATCCTGCACAACATGTAGCACAAACGAGCTCTCCGAGGACTTATTATTATGTCTTTCAGCCAATTTAAAAACAAAAAACGAAAAAAAAAAATAGTCAAAGGTCTAATGTGATGGTCTTATCTGAGTTGTGTGTTAGATGGATCTGATGAAAGGTAACATATGTTAACTGAATATATCAATACTGAAACACTGACTTGCACTAACAAAATCTTGTCAACGCTGAAAAAAGGGAAATGACACAGAACAAAAGGTCAAGAGTTTCCCCCTCGTTCAGTTACACTGTACACGCAGTGGTGTGTAGAAGCCTTTCGCTCTTTTTCTTTGACTTGAAAAGGTCAAAGGAGCAGTGTGATAGACCCGAATATGCTCTCGCCATGCTCTTCCCCAGTTTTCACTTCCATACATACAGAAAATAGATTTGAGTTTGACTGACAGCAGGGGAAAGATGTCACCCCCACAATATTCTGTGTGCCCACAACCGCATTCAGACTCACCCCGGCACAGCTGCCGGTGCCCACGTCGTGTCCTCTCCCTTTGAAGTGAGGAGCGGAGATGGATGGCTAGATAGAGTGAGAGAGAGGAACGCCAGAACACTTCAAAGCCCCTGGTGCGCAGCCCTCTGGGCCCCGGCACTCTACAATTAATCCCAGGATGTTTTACCCCTTTCTCTGCTGGAGGAACCTTTCCACCACTTTAAAACACTCTCCCTGCGTCGTTCTGCATACTGATCCAAGCTCAGTCCTACTCGGCTCCTCTTGCGCTCGTGCCTAAAAGTCCTTTCTCTGTACAGTAGAGATTTCCAGACAATATGAATCAGCTTCAGGGAGGATCAAACAATCAGTATGTGATTGAAGTGCAGACTTTCAGCTTTAATTGCAGGATTTAAAAAAAAGGGGGGGGGAGCGTAGCACGGTGGTACAGTGGTTAGCACTGTTACCTCACAGAACCAAGGTCCTGGGTTTGAACCCACCATCTGTTGCTGTGAGGCATGTTCTCTCTGACATGTAGTTAGTTTAACTAGTTTTTCTGAATTGGCTCTAGATGCCTAATGGCTGTCTGTCTCTCAGTGCATTGATCCAAAGTGCTACATTTACTTATTTATACAGAATCCCACATTTTCAGAGGCTCAAAAGTAATTGGGCAAACTAACATAATTTAAAATCTAAGGGCTGTTTTTAATACTTTGCAGTCAGTGTCTGAAGTCTAAAACCCACAGACATAATTAAACAAACCCAAATGTTAACCACATGTTCCAAATATTTGGAAAAATTATAACGAATGGCAGAATTATTACCACAGGCTGATGTTGTTGACATCTATCTTCCTGGTTTATGTGCGACCTGCTCTACACATGGTGGTTTAGGCAAGATTTTAGATGTAAGATTTTCCTAAAAGCAAAGCGATTCAAATAATCAAAACCTCTGGCTCGTTTCTAAACTGTTCACCAGTCATGGTGTCGTCAGGTTCTCCGATCGCTGCAGTTTGTGATGAAGAGCAGAAATGATGACCAAGCTTCAAAATGGAGACCCGAGTTTAAAAAGGCTTCCACTGTGGCCTTCTAGATAACATCTACATAACATCTCACTCATTATAAGACGATCAGTCATGGGCAGAAATGAAAATGCCTTTCGTAGAGTTTGTTGCTGCTTTGTTTGACTCATATGGAGGCTGTGCTTTAAATGCCTCTGATCTTTTCCAGGCTCGCGTACTGGCGACCATCGGGGTCACGAGAGGCCTCGGAGACCACAGTCTCAAAGTGCACGACTCCAACATTTACATTAAGCCCTTCCTGTCCTGCTGCCCAGAGGTACGCTCCAGTTTTACATTTTTGTGTCCTTCTCTATGTCTGCCTTGGTCATGTTGTTAGAATTTTTGCCTTACAGCAAAGAAGGAAAAAGGATTCAGAGTCCTTTCTGTTCGACCTGTCCAGTGGGTTTGGGCCTCTCGCCAAGTATTGACAAGAACAGGCTCTACCACCCTCTAGGCTCTCAAGGATATGCAGTCATGTGAAAAAATAAGTACATCCCATGGGAGGTTGTTGGCTTTTATGGCTTATCTGAACAACCAAACATTTGACAATCGTTGAAATACTGACTATAGATAACGATGATATTAACAAACACAACCACAGCAAATATGCAAAAATAGCAGAGACGGTGAGCGCACTACTTTTGTTTCCATCTTTTTTAGTTTTAAAATAACAAAGTAAGAGCAAAGACTGGCCACACACTGCACGGCCGTCCTTTGGCAAACTATTACAGATTACAAAAGCATTTTGTAAACAGCAGTCTTTCAGTTCTTTCTGTGGATTTTCTCCTGCAATTCTTATCTATAGGATACTAATTCTCTGAAACTCTTGGGCCGTTTTGTATGTACGACATATATAAAGGTTTCCGATAATGTGCGTTTCGGGGACTATGGGGCCACAGTGAAACCTTCAAACTTGAATGCCTTAAGCTTTTGTGGCTTTTGAGGTTTGTTTTGCATCATCGTATCCTCTTTCATCTTCAGTTTCTCTCTTTTTTTCACAGGTGGTTTTCTTTTTGAAACAGCTGGTATTCAGTTGAATCTATTCTTCCCTAAACTAAAACGCTTCCCCCGGCCACTGGCCTCAGCACAAGTTGAAGGCCTTATCGATCCTCCCTCCTTGTGCTCAACAGTTAGAGAGGTGCTCTTTTAATGAAATTGCTGTTCAGATGGCCTTGTGTGATCTCCTAACACTCTTAGATAATGTGCGGAATACATATTTGAATCAATGACTGCAATGTGCCCAGTATCTGAGGCAGCGTAGCAACCTCCAAAATACAACATTTCTGTCAGTGTCCTTTATAGCTTGTATGAGGATTTTCTCCCACAGAGCTGCCCATGTCTCACCAATCAGGTCTAATGTTACTGTGGCCAGACAGTATCTTTGATTCATCTACCACACTTTAGGATGTTTGAATCTATGGCAACAAATCTGAAAATGTACCTACTTATTTTAAAAGCCACTTAAAAAATCTAAATCGTCTACAAAATATGAATTTTGTGTGCTATTCACTGAGTTTATAACCTGCCTTAATAGGAACAATTTCTGTGGGTTACACTTTTTCACATGACTGCATCAAATGCAATGATTACATCGTCTGTCACAAAGCAGAAGAAGAAAAACCTGGATGTTAGCAGTTGTAATGTACTTGTTTTTTACCTTCTCACTCTTCTCAAAGAGTCACCTTCATCGGTCACTTCACAGCATCTATCCTCCGTCAGGTTACATAAAGTTGTTGCTATAAAACAGTGGGTGTTTGGGTACAAAAATACAGAATGATGAAAGCAGAGCGCTCTTGTGGCACATACATCGCTTGGACTGTTAGTGAGGAAATCTGTGCCTACTCCTTTTTGGCCTTGTTGCTGCGTAGCTGCTGAATGACTAAAATCTGAGAGATATGTTAAGTTATTCTGGGGAAGGGAGCCAAAGTCTGGGTTAGGGTTTAAAATCCTTTGCATTTGAGCATGTGTCAGGAGGGGAAGAGAGAAAATGGAATAAAAGGAAAAGTCAGAACAAGAGTGGCAGTATGTTAACATTAGTGCAGTGTTTTAGAGGGGCTCTAGTCTTATATTACCCTCATTGTCTCAGCCGCCTGATATAACGAGAGCGCAGAGGTAACAGCTGATAGCCAGTAACAGGCGGCACTGTGAACTGTGCGGTCAACGTGTGCGTTGATGGTCCCTGCAGTGCAGTGGATTGCAAGAAGGAATCCACTGCACATGATTGCAGTAGTCATGAAAACCTGCACATTCTCTTGATCTTTAATTCATTGCACTCAAAGTTCAGTCATAGTTCAGCCTCCTTTTTTGATGTTCCTATAAGATGAGTGAAGTCAAGGTTTTTCCAGACGGAGCATAAAAACATGATTTCTGTATGAAAGACGTGGTATTCCTGAGCATTAAGGGGCCACAATAGACTCTTTTAGGCTTTAATAAACCCTTCAGGTTTTTCAGCTAATTCAGGGTAGCCTATCCCAGTCATAGGGTGAGAGGCAGGGTACACCTTGGATAGACCACCGGCCTCTCACAGGAGATATACAAACATTCAAAAAGAAGAACTTTCCCTGATATTGACTTCTTTTGACATCCACTAGTTTATATGTTCAAAGAAATGTGTAGGAGAGTGCCCTGCAGGGAATGTGAAAACGTCCTGCGGGGACATGTTTTCCCTGCGCACTGTCAAGTTCGAATTACAGACTTCTCTCAGGTTGTGAATAAAAAATAAATAAATAGAGCCTAATAAAACAGGCTGACCTTGGCAGTTTGAGTCATATTGACATAGAATTTGGGTATTTGAGTAAAAATCAGAGGATCGGGTCCTTCCCTCTTCTTGACATACTTTGTTGCCATTGAAATCTCCTTTGAGGTATTGGAATGCTGCCTCATAGATTGATAGTCTCGCTGTGTTTCTCTCTTTCAAAGCCTGACTTACTGTTCATCTCAAGGTTCCCCACAACATGGAGCCTTGTGATCCACACAGAACTCATTTTGCTAATCTTACAGTGACTCTCCCTGCTTGCGTGTGGTGTTCTGTTTTTAAAGTAGCCTAAGTTGGTGTGCCTGCTGTGAATAGGCAACGCCTCCACAGTAGCAAAAGAATTACTTGAAGCAACCAAACAAAAGCCATCCAAGGCCACTGGGTATTATTTTTGCCTGCTGTTTCAGAGTATGCTTCTGTTCGCCCATAGTAATTTGAAAGACTGTGCCTCACCAGAGTTGCCACAGTAACACGAGTTTCCCTGCTTCAGAATATCTTTGAAGGATTGAGACCATCAACATTGTTTAGACAAGTATATGGAGGCGGATGTGTTAAGAAAGTGGAGATTAAATGGAAAGATCATCCTAGTAATGTTTCTTCTGATATTTTGAGAGATTCATGTAGAGATATCCACACTAAGAGACTTGTTACAGTACAGGTAATCCACAAAACCGTTTACATTGTGTTCTGTGGCTGCCATTTTTTTTTTTTTTCTTATAATCTCAGTAGCTTATGTCAATAAAAATGTTGGGTGGTCCAGCACTCTGGTCCAGAATTGCTTGAAGCACGACAATGAAATTGGAAATCCCTTGACTTGGCATGTAGCGCTAATGATAGAGGAAAATCTTGGTTTCCAAGCTGTCAAATCTTTGAACAATACCAGTGACTGTGTAAAAGTCGGGGAGCAGTTCAGTAATCCATTTTTTCTTAAGTCACTGGTTAGTGACCCATTAGCAAACATTATAGTATACTCAGGAGATCGAGCAGGTCATCTTCTAATCGGAAGGTTAGTGGTTTGATCCCTGACTCCTCCACTCTGCATGGAAAAAGTACCCTTGGGCAAGGTAGTAAATCCTGAGTTACCCTCTGAGTGTTAATGTTAGACATAGAAAGCACTTAGGCATAGAAAAATTGCTTGTATGAATGCGGGTGGATGAGGCTTGAAGCAAGAAGCACTTTGAGTGCTCAAGTAAAGTAGAAAAGTGCTATAGATAAACCAGTCCATTTACCAATAAGATGGTGTGCTTTAATCGGATGTTTCATTATTACGCCATTTCCAGCTTCTCCTCTGCTTGCCTTCTGTATTGCATTGTGGGAAAGCATTGTAACACTGAAAGCCAGGAGCAGGGAGAGTAGCAGCACAGAAAAGAAGAGGCGTCAGTGACAACAGATACAACCCAGATTAAATCAGATACAGGAAGAAAGAAAAACCGCTGGGGTTGAGGCGGGTTTCAGAGCAGCCTGCAGAGGTGCCGAAGCTACATGTCCTGTATGAAACAGCCAAGACGGGTGGCAAAAGTACATACATTTGTCAGTTAAGCAGGAGTATACATACTTACTTAGGTGCTGTATTCTGCAATCACAACTTATTAACATATTATAACATATTAACCCCTGAGTATAATGTAATGAATCATGTGCACAGTAAGATTTGCAGTGAATCCTATGCGATAAGCACCAATGACGAATACAAAACAATCAATGACTCCTTGAAAATGCATGAACCAAAAAATAACATGCCTGTACATGAATATGCAAGGAGTAAAAAACAGAGGTAATTGTGTTAAAATGTGGGGAGTAAAAGTAAAAAGTTGTCAGAAAAATAAACAATTTTGCTCGAGTACAGAAATAAAGTGTCTGTGCTTCATTGCTTCCCACCTCTGACAGGCAGTATGTTGTGTAATAGAGTATCAGCTGAGCCATCAGTTACAGAGATGAACTTCCAGGATATACTCTGAGCCTTGTGTACAGAGCAAATCCTCTGCTCTGTTAGTTTTGAAGTATTGAAGTTGCATCCCGTTCGTCTTGAAATTATTAAATGCTCATATTGCTGTAATTCGGATTCACCACCCTGGTATTAGAATATAATCTGGAGCAGTTTACCCTTTCAAGATTAAAGATAACCACTAGGAGGCCATGGCTAAGGCTTAAGACTGTTGTCCATTAATTACAGAGTGAGCATGTTGAACAGATGAACGTGCAGCACATTATAAAGTGCGTTGCAGCAGCTTTTTCAGGTTAAACACGGCTAAAATGCACAATTTACCATCTATACAATATTTTCTGTCTATAAATATGTAACGGATGTACAAGGTTTGTACAAACAGCAAAGTTTTACAATTCTTGCTTCTCTTTTTTTTTTCTAACTTCAGGTCAGAGTTTACCCTTTAGCACAGTGTGAGCATGGAGCCGATGACGTTCTGGTGCTGGGAACTGACGGACTGTGGGACGTCCTCTCCAACCAGGAAGTGGCTGAATCGGTCGGCTGTTTCCTGGCAAACTGCGACCCTGACGATCAGCACAGGCATGTTCACCCATCCCACACAGCTGCAGTCGCAGACAGGCCTGAACTTCCTCTCACCTCTGTCTTGTTTGGAGAGGGTGAACGTGGTTATCTTCTCACGATTACGCAAATTTCCAAACATTCAGATAATGATGTCAAAGAACAGCTCATTAACAGGATTCCCTCATTATTTCCTCAATGGTTTTACTTTTTTAATTTCTATTTGTTTTCATCTGACTGTGGGCAGAGGCATTTATTCAATGGCTGCACGTTGCCATTATTCCCTGTTCTGATCATTATCTAATTGAATATCGCCGTGTGATGCTGACACCGTAACTACTTCTCACTTTCGTTACCTCAGGTACACGATGGCAGCTCAAGACCTCATAATGAGAGCGAGGGGGGTGTTGAAGGATCGAGGCTGGAGGATAGCCAACGACAGATTAGGCTCCGGAGATGACATCTCTGTCTACATCATTCCCCTCATGTATGGAAACAAGCAGAACTAGCCAAGCTACGAAACCGCAGCCATCGCTGAAACACAACCCTGCCTTGACCTTTTAAACTTCACATGTGCAGTTTTACCTCATTCCTTGTTCCCCTTTTAAAAGTGCTTTTGTTTCTGCTCAGATCAAAAACTGATCTGTCTCAGTTTCACCCTGATTATCCTCAATCAGGGTGAAAACTCTCTCTCTCCCTTTTTTTAAATATTGAAAAGGAAACAATCATAAGAGTAGCTGTTAATGATTACTGTTATTATTGTTTTTTAATTCTCGTGGAAGCCATCCTTAGCTGTGTTTCGGGGGGCAAACCCTGTAAACCTGGACTCTCGAATGAGATGACGACATCTCAGGACTGCTGTTACTAACTAATGCACAATATTTAATAATGTGAAAATGTAAATAATCTGAAACACAAGACATTGGTTAAGTGTGTTTGGCTGAACACCTGTACAGTGTTTAACCCCCCCCCCCAAAAAAAAAAAACCTAAAGACTGTTGTAAATATGAATCATTCCAGCTCTGTTCCACGCACGCTTTTAACTTAGCCAGACTCAGCCATTCACTTTTCCACATCTCCCAGTGAAATGGGTGGGAAAAATGGGTTTCCTTCTGCTGACTTTCGGCTGTTACTTCTAATACTGCAGTTGCCATTTTTTTGCTCATTTGTACCATTGCGATACTGCGTTTGCTATTAAGGAGAGATTCTTTTTTTAAATGAAGACTACACTACCAGGTGGAGTGACACTTAAAAGATTTTGGCCCAATACATTTCACGCTCCTTATTTCTTTACTATTGTATTTATTTGAACATCAGTTGAGATCTACAAAGGAAAACAAACATGTTTGAGACATGTTCCTCCTTAAGCTGTCGTTCACCTGCTGCATGTGCCATCATTAAGCTACGTAGTCATCCTTTACAGCAGGGGCATCAAATATAAGGCTCTGGGGCCTTTGGTCTGGCAAAGACTCAATCTGGCCCACTGGATGGCTTTGGGATATGTGAAAGAGGACATAGCATTTCCCCTTATGAAGATCTCCCTTATTGCCAATTATAAGACACCGGTAATAATGTAACAGAGAGACAAAGATAAAAACAAAAAGGTTCCTGTTTTCTCACTCAACTTTTTTTTTAAATTAGTAAAAATAAAAATAAAACAAGACATTTTCTATGAATGAACAAAAACCTTCAGTTTTGTAATTACAAGAGCGCGGGGGGTAATGAGCCACCAGAAGCTTTTTTTGTCATTTTTACACATTTATTTATTTGCACTGACCGATTTCTCTTATTTCAAACAGCTACAGTTCTTTATCATGTAGAAAAATTAAAAATTGCACTTCTTTTTCTTATAGTAATTGGGATCAAATGTGTAGTCAAATGTCTTTACACTGACAGAATGAGAGGAGTATCGCTGGTTCGGACCAACTTAACATCAAAGTGGGCCGCATGTGGCCCATGATGTAAAAGGAGTTTGACATCCCTGCTTTACCTCATAGAACCTTTTCTCAGATTTATTGTTCTCATTTAAAAAAAAAAAAATCTAAATGTATAAATAACAGGTACCTGTAACGACGCTGATGTTACAGATGCATAAATCTGACCCGTCATGGCTAAACTTGTGTCTGAGCAGTCAACACAGTTCTTACGTTAAGGAGTGGGTTTCCATATTTTCTTTCAAATTGTACTTTTTTTATTTTTATTTTGAAGGTGAAAATGGTGAAACTGAGTAAATTTATTTAAATGTAAAAATGTAAATAACCTTTTCCAGCAGACAAACTCTCCCTTCCTTTTACTGTAAGTCACGCATATCTTACCAAAACCAAAACACACATGATTTGTACTGTTTTAGAACCCCATAGCAACAATAAAAAAAATTAATGTGAAAAAGTTCATTTTTCTGCTCTATTAAAGTAGTTGATCAACAATTGTGACAATTCTCTGCTGCCTCAGTGATTTAAAAAATAAATAAATGGTGTTGATTGATCCTGGCTCTGGGATGCACTTGGCAGACAGCTCAGAGTATTGGGAAAAGTAGTGGCCTTGTCTCTTTGGTCACTGTATCAGATGAACTTTATGAAAGAAAAGATTTTTTTAAAAACGTGACCTGATATAGCGCTGATGTAAATGACTCATCAGATACGATCGAATACTGGATATAACTGATTCTGCATCAAACAAGAACTTTTCTTGGAACTTTGACTTTAATGGAGACAGCATCTGCACCACATAAGACCATCACCGCTCTGACAAACTGTATCAAGACAGTCCAGAAGCAAAAATGTGGATGAAGGTATTAGTAATCTTGACTTTTTGAAAAACACGTACGTACACGTACTTGATTGCTTGACCAAAAAAAAGGTACGAAATGTGGACCATTTTTTTTTCACCCAAAAATTCTGTCAATGCAAGTCAAACATCTGTGAAGCTAAAAGGAATATCTGCAACATTTTTGCTGAGTCCTTCTCCAGTGATGTCATACTGAATACTTGAAATACCTGAGAGACCATGGATGTAAATTAAATTAACATGTCAGGAGAATAAAACATTCAATATGAGTCAGGAGGAAAAGTAAACCTGGCTAAACTAATTAAATGTTTAAAGTGAAAGTGTGTGTTAGTTTTTGGATTGGTTAATAGTGCCCCCACCCCAACCCACTCTTCCCCCACTCCCCAGCTGTGACACTCAAAAGTCCCCAATATGTAGCCAAAATAACCCCGAACAAACAAAAGAAAACAACTGTCTTTAAATATACATTCAGGAATATGAAAGGAGGATCGTATCAAATGAAGCATTAGTAATAACTGTGTTCTTGTGCACAGGAAGTTGGAGAGATTGGATTTCGTTTAGTTCTCAGACATCAGAGTTGCATCACTGACGGTGATCAGTAAGACCATTTGTTCCTGACATCCTTTCACAGGCACTGCTGCATAATGCTGTTTAACACGGGTGTGGAATTTTAAGCAAGGTCCTGCAGCCATGTCATCCAGGTCTTTGCTGTTATTTAAACTTGTTCTTTTTCCATGTTCAATTTTTATTGGTAAAATTTGTACTTTATAGTTTCTCGGTAATTCTGCAGTAAATAAATACCTAGGATTATGTTTATGGAGCTGTAATTGCTGTTATAATTAATGTTATCCTTCCAACATGTCAATATTAAGATATTGCATACTTGATCACCTTTATGAAAGCATGTGGAATGCGCTCAGAAGATTTTTTTAAGCGCTGTCGTGGGAATCTCACACTCTTGGGTCCTCTGCAGGAGCTGGAGGGCCATCTGGTCCCCACAGGCCAGCACCGCATCCTCCTCCAGTCAGGCCAGCTCGGATCTGGCACTCCACTCCTACTCTCCACACGTGTGTGCGTGTGTGGTCCAGATTGGATGACGACAATGATGACACAGTCATTCCTGTGGGTGGCTTGTTTTTTCCAAGGTCACAGCACTCCCACCCCACCCATGGACAGATCTGAGGGAGATGCTGAGTGGGCTCGGAGTGCGATACTCATCTGCTGTAATAGAAGGTGATGCGTTACCTCGCTGCAGTGCCGCATGGGACAGTCGAGGGCACGGCCTTGAAACACTCCTTTCAGAGGAGGATAAAGGTAGTAAATAACAGTTTTATTTATTAACCCAGCCCTTAGGAAAAAAAAGAAAAAAAGTGCTGCCTTCCAAAGAGGCCTGAATGTAACCAGTTTGTGTCAATGAAAGGCAAAAGGAGATAGTTTTTGCTAAATATCCGTGTTTATTACTTCAACATTATACATTAAACTATATATTTATTACTTAAAAATATTTTTTTTAAAACATTGTTCACAATCCATCTAATAATCATGCGAGCCCCCTACACACCAACACAGATAAGCTTTCAGAAACAGTGTTGATTTCAGTTATTTTTGAACACGTCTGCAAAGGTGCCAAACACTTCCATCACCTTCTTAAACGTGACAAACCGCTGGTTTTCTCAGTCTTGCCCCCCCCCCTTTACAATCATGCAGAGGGATCTGATAACACAAAGGACACGCGAGAGTTGACCGTCCTGTCGGTGCACCGCTTCATCTGTGCAGCTGTGATACCCATCTGAGCTGGCAGACTTTCCACAAAGGGGACTGTAATTTACTGCTTTAGGGCTTCGGCTGCCTGAAGTATGATTTATCTGCAGCCCGGCTCAAATGAGAGCTTTAGCATAAGATGGATGAGAAGGACACACTGTAGGCTGCCTCTGTGTTGCTCAGTGATCCATAGACCGGCTCCCTTTACAGTCAGGATATGATAAATGATGTTTGGTTTTGCCCTCCAGGCTGGATTACTTGCATTTCTTACATGGGGGAGTTATTTGAATATATGCAACGCCTGTAGGACCTCTGCTCCATGGGCCTGATAACTACACCTCTCCACTGTGCTCCATTTACCAGTCAGAGGCTTTTGCAAACACAAGGCGCTCCTACTTTACAACCTACCTACATGTGTCTACAGCGAGTAGCCGGCGTAGAATTTATTGTGTAATGTCAGCACAGATGCTAGTGGGCAGAACTGTGGCCCAGGAAGAACATAACTCTATCATAGCACACGATCCAGCGTGAACTCATAAATATTTAATGGGGAGTCTTCTTGGAAGGTCAAAGCAGAATTCAATCTTCAAGTCAGACAGCCAACTGAATGAGTGGCTCGCTCTCATCTCAGGATGTGCGGTGAGGGTGGTGGGGTGGGGGTTAATCGACCCAGGCTGCAAGCCAATCAAAGCTCATTACCCATTCTGGGTCACACCCCAATCACGAGACCCCTGACGGCTCATGGTGATGTGTTACAGAGCAGAGCCAGATGCTGCTGGGCAGCTGAGGGAGGATTTCAAAGGTTAACTCGCAAGGCATGACCGACACCCGCGAGGACACCGCTGCTCAACAGACTGTGTGTGGGGGGTGGGTTTTGGGAGGGGGGGGTCCGGATCATGTGGTGTGACTGTATGTGGACACCACAGAGGTTCACCATTCAGAGTTAGCATGATAGGCAGAATACAGGGAGAACACAGTGCACGTTTATGCCCTGCTTTTATATATGAGAGATGTTCATGTGCAGGAGAAGCACATACAGCATGATGGTATGCATTCTTATTAACAAAGAAGTCCGGGGAGAGCCATAAAGCCAGCTTGTGTGCATCAGAGCAGATGTACTGTAGGACACCTCTGTGGGCAGCAGCAGCCACGTCACTGCTCTCCTCATAGCAACAGTACTGTTGACCTACATGCTTCCTACATAGCCCACTCCGCCCGAGGTGGCGGAAAACTCTGCAAATCTATAGCATACACACTTCCTCGTGCATCTTTAAAAAAAGAAAGAAAAAAAAAACGGCCTTTTTTCTTTTTTTTTTAAACTCGCTAATTATATTACTACACATGCCAGCTTTCTCACCCATTCTCCCAAAATAATTCAAATCTCACACAATAAAAATTAAAAATACATTGACAAAAGTGCCCCCCCCGCTCCCCACAGTCATTGACTATTTTATTAGAAGAAGAAAAAACATGATACAGCAATTAAACTGCTTCAGCTTAGAAATCAACAGTAAGCAGATGTCCATGTTTAAATTACAGCTTCAAATACATCACGAGAGGCTAGCCTACATAGCTAGGTGTGCATTACCTGGAAAAACCGTCTAACAGCGCTGGGAGCTGGGCTTTTTTCCTCTCCCTCTCTCCTTCGGCTGGAGTGGAGGCACCAGCACTAGCAAGGCAGTAGCTTGCGCAGTCATCTCCATAGCGGGCAGTGTCTCAACCCAACCAACAGCACAAACTACTACCTCAGCCAGTACGTGGTAATAAGACGAAAACGAAGACAGAAACAGTACAAAAATACCGTAAAGGGACAGAAATGCCCCGCTTCGCCGACGAAAGCAACATTCCCACGCAGCCGAAGACGCTCCGTCCTCTCTCCCGCTTCGCTCTTCTTCTGTGCAGACTTGAAATAAGAGGGAAACCCCGCCCAAGCAGACTTACTCCCCCTTTCTCTCCTCCTCCTTCTTCCTCCGCGTGTTCAGTGCAAACCACAAAAAGGTCCTTTCCCCTCATATGACCCACTGCATAATCCCAAGCTACGGCTCGAGGTCCCCCAGGAGCACGTTGAGAGACAGCAGTGGAGTCCACCTATAATGTAATGGTGGTTTGGTTTGTAAATTCGTGGGTGACTGAAACTGTTTTAATATTTTCGTGTCTAAGATGCCTCTGCAAAAAACTATAACCCCACCTGCTGTACAGAATACACACATCACGACACTCAATGCTCAAAAAGAAAAGAAAAAATCTATTTAAAGCATTTGTATTGATATGTTATAAGTACGATCACTGTAAGACAGGGGTGGCCAACCAGTCAGAGACCAAGAGCCACTTTTTACTGTGTTACCGCAAAGA